CTCAGCTGTGGGATGCTGTTCTGAGGACTGCTGAGCAGAGATGGGGTCCACCTATCAAGGAAGGGGAAAAGTATTTTTGGATACAGACTGGCTAACCTAGTGAGGTGGGGATTTAAACTAGGTTTGACAGGGACAGGAGAGGCAGAAGCCCACAGGTAAGTCCAAAACATGGAGACCTGGGCAAAGGGTCAGAATCTGGGGAGAATATGGGCAATTATAGCAGGGACACAGGAGAGACATGTAGGAATATAGAGGGGGAGTCAAATAAAGATCTTAGATGTCTGAATACTAATACAAGAAGTATGGGGAATAAACAGGAAGAACTAGAAATAGTGAATAATCACAATTACGACATAATTGGCATCACAAAGACTGGGTGGGATAATTCACATGACTGGAATATTGGTATAGAAGGATACAGCTAGTTCAGGAAGGACAGGTAGGGGAAAAAAGGGAAGAGGTATTGCCATGTATATCAAAGAAGTATACACTTGCACTGAGGTTGAGATTGAAATGGGAGACAGAACTGTTGAAAGTCTCTGGGTAAGGACAAAAGGGGTAAAAAAAAATAAGGGTGATGTCATGTTAGGAGTCTACTATAGACCACCTAACCAGGAAGAAGAGGTGGAGGAGGCTTTTTTTTAAACAATGAACAAAATCATCCAAAACACAGGATTTGGTGGTGATGGGGGACTTCAACTACCCAGCCATCTATTGGAAAAATAATACATCTGGGCACAGCTTATCCAACAAGTCCTTGGAATGCACTGGAGACAACTTTTTATTGCAGAAGGTGGAGAAAGCAACTAGGGGAGAGGCTCTTTTAGATTTATTTCTGACAAACAGGGAGAAACTGGTTGCGAATTTGAAGGTGGAAGGCAGCTGGGGTGAAAATGATCATGAAATTATAAGACTTCATGATTCTAAGGAATGATAGGGTGAAAACAGCAGAATAAAGATAGTGGAGTTAAAGAAAGCAGACTTTAGTGAACTCAGGGAGATGGTAGGTAAGATCCCATGGGAAACAAGTCTAAGGGAAAAAAGAATTTAGGAGAGTTGGCAGTTTTTTTTAAAAGAGGCATTATTGAGGGCAAAGAGCAAACTAACCAATGCATAGGAAAGATAGGAAGTATGGTAAGAGACCACTTTGGCTTAACAAGGAGATCTTAAATGATCTGAAACCCAAAAAAGAGTCCTACAAAAAAGTGGAAACTAGGTCAAATTACAAAGGAAGAATATAAAAAAAACCTCAATGTAGGGGCAAAATTAGAAAGGCCAAGGCAAAAAAAAAAAAAAAAAAAAAAAAGAATTAAACTAGACTAGGTAC